GGCTGAGCGCACGCTATTCCCATTTAAATTAGCTTCTGCCTGCACCATTTTACAGAAATTACTCTTTAAAAAGTTAGCAATTGCCAAATGGGCATTTCAGGGCACATGCTGTTGGGCTTCCCTGTTGATTTTGCTGATTTCTGTTTTCTTCAAACTCTAAGTTTCAAAACTTGAATTCTGTGATATTGTAGTGTGCTTTCTTTCTCTTTGGACCCTCAATCTTTTTGGAACTATCTTCCAATTGTGCATTCTTTTTTTTAAAAAATTATTATCTGTGTACATATTTTAATATTGCCCCCCCTTCCATACATACTCTCCCTCCCCAGAGTTTTGTGTCCATTGGTTGTACTTATATGCATGTATACTAGTCCTTCGATTGATCTCTTATCTCCCCCAGATCTCCCTACCCTCCCCGCTGTAATTTGGCAGTCTGCTTTTTGCTTTACTGTCTTTATACTGACGCCCAGTGGATAGAGCGTCAGCCGGTAGACTGAAAGGTCCCAGTTCGATTCCAGTCAAGGGCATGTACCTTGGTTGCAGGCACATCCCCAGTAGGGGGTGTGCAGGAGGCAGCTGATCAATGTTTCTCTCTCATTGATGTTTCTAACTATCTTTCTTTTCCTCTCTGTAAAAAATCAATAAAATATTTTTAAAAAGTAAGTATTACATATGTTCCCCTTGTCCCCCCATTGCCTGCCTCTATCCCCCACCCCAGGCCTTTACCACTCTATTATCTGTGTCCATGGGTTATGCATATATGCATACAAGGTCTTTTATTGATTACCTCCCATCCACCCACTTTCCCCCACTTTCTTTCCAAGATTCCGCACTCTGTTCCATGCTCCCATGTTTTTGGATCCACTGCATTCATCAGTTTATTTTGTTACTTAGATTCCACATATGAGTGAGATCATGTGATACTTGTCTTTCTCTGACTGACTTATTTCACTTAGCATGATACTTTCCTTAAATACTGGGAGTGTAGACTTATTTTTCACCCTTTGCTGTTGGCCACAGGAAGCTGCGATTAAATAAATGCCTTCAATCCAGAAACATGGAGCTCTCCATTTATGTTTACTGTGCTATAAGATCCCTGGGCTGAGTCCAGGGTATGAGTGACAATTAAAGTGCTTCCAGATTATCAGAGCTCTTTATGATTAATCTGAGGCATCAGTGATTTTTATATTAAACCAATATTCATTCTTGAAGATTCAGTTTATGAATTAAGGTGTCTGGGAAAACAGCCATGGGTTTACAGACTAGGTTTTGTTCACCAATCCTCATATCACATGGTACTTTGTGAACAACTGTATTATTGCACTTAAAAAAGTGAATTGTATATATTCCTTTAAATCTTTACTTCTTCTACCAGCATGGATTATCCAAGGACAAGAAACATGTCATATTCATTTTTATTACATGAATATTAGAATAGTTTGTTGAGTGAGTAAACACATTGTTATTGGTTGCAATGAAATTTAGGTTTTAAATAGTCTAATTCTCAATAGCTACATAGTAATCAATAAAATATATCTCTATATTTTTTTCTGATAAATTTCTTACTATCACATTGAGGAAAGAGTTTTTATATTTCAGCTATTCCCACAGGTACTGGGATCAGGGAAATAAATTAGCTGGCAGTGCTCCATGGAGCTAGTAACCTAGAAGAATTTATGTAGGAGAATTTATTAAAGATTGCATGGGCTAAGATGTAGTGTATAAGTGACAGTGAGCTGACCTGCAAGCATGGGTCAAGTTTCCCTCAGTAAATGAAACTGGACATCAAATTGGAACAAAAATAAAGTCAGCTAAGAGGAGAGCAGACTTACCCCCAAGAGAGAAAAACACATGACTGAAACCTAACTGAAGATGTTATATGTGAAAGAAGCTGATAACAGGCAACTAAGGAGCAGGGCTGAAATGGAAATGTAAAAATAGTAAGTCATATCCCACCCGTACCCTTGTGGTGCTCTTCTAACCTTTTCACAGCAACAGGGCTGGGTGGGAACGAACCACTGAGGACCAAGTGGCAGGAATGTCCATCTGTGGAGATGACTGTTTCAGGCTTAGTCTGATGCCATTGCCAAAGGCATCATATGGGGGTATATTTCACACTGAGGAAATTGCATCAGTAGAGAAGGCATGGCAACAGTAGTCCAGCCTGACAGGACAATAGTTGGAGGATCGTGTGGATGGTGAAGTCATAGATGAAGTGTGTGGAGAGAAATACTCATTGTTCTCTGGTGTCTGATTGTTATTATTTAGGTTACTGAAGTTACTATGGAAGAGAATAATGAATAATTAGGGGAACCTATGTGAGGTTTTTGCAAGGTAGAACAAGTGAGAAGGGATTAAGGCCTAAACTAAGCAATGGGCAAGAGAGAGCATTGAGTATGATCTGCTGCAAAATGAACACCAGACAAAAAACATAAAACACTTCTAGCTTCGGCAAATAGCAATCCATCTTTAACACCACTCAGCTGTCTGAACTCTACTTTGGATCAATAGGACACCTGTGAGTGATGTTGTCTCTAAAGCTCAGATCACTGTTTTTAAAATGATTATTTGTAAAAAGTATTTGAAATACCACATACAGGGACTTCTGGGGAGCACTCCATACTGCTGAGGTCTAGCCAGTTCCAAAGCAGAGATGCCTGTTCCACTCCAGCCTCGTGGGAGTTCCACAGTCTTATCATCCCAGGCAGTGCCAAGGAGTCAACTCATGAGAAAGACCTGGGAAACCTCCCTGCCACAGAGACCTGTGTATCTTCCAGGCTCAGGGACATAAAGTGTTTGGCTGAGGTGTCCTTCCCTGCTCCGCATCAGGAGTGCAGTGCGGGGAGCCACTATTCCCAGAAGATGGCTGGCTGGGCTGGGGCAGCCCCATGTCCTAGTTCTGGAAGTCCTAGAGCTCTGAAAGCAGGTGCCGCTGGAGGCAACTGAGCTGGTGCCTGGGGCACTGATTAGGATCCAGGCTCCCTAGTGTCATGTCAGGTCTGAGCCAGATAGAGTTAGTACTGGCCAAAGGGATAGTCTGGGGGACATCCCAGGCTACTAAGGTCCATCAAGTCCTAAATTATTTTGTAGTGTGGTATATGTTCATAACCTGAAGTTTACCACTTTAAGTGTAATATATAGTTGAATTAAATATATTCATAATATCATCACCAGTATTCATCTCCAGAACTTTTTCATCCTTCCAAACTAAAACTGTATACCTGTTAAACCATTACTCCCTCTTCCCTCCTCCACTCAGCCCCTGGAAACCTCTATTCTACATTCTGTCTCTATAAATTTGCCTATTCTAAATGACTCAGTAAGTGGAACCATACAGTATTTGTTCTTTGTTTATTTTATTAAGCATAATGATTTCTAGGTTCGTCCATGTTGTAGCACATTTTAGAACTTCATTCCTTTTTATGAATAAATAATACTCTCTTGCAAGCATATACCACATTTTGTTTTTCCATTCATTCATTGATGGACATTTGGGTGGTTTCTGCCTTTTAGCTGTGTGAATAATGCTGCTAGAAAGTTTGGCACACACTATCTATTTGAATCCATTTACAATTAGTTTGAATATGCTCTACATAGAAGTGTTAAAGCCTTCCTTCATTGTGATAATATGTAGAAATGAAATGCTACATGTGTGCAACATGACACTGAGAGCTCTGCATTCTAACTACTGTTCCTATTGCTCAGAAAAGGGTCAAGTCACGTAATTATTAATTTTATTAATTCTGGGAAGTGACAATGCCCTGAATTTCAAAGAAATGGCACTTTTGTTTCTCAGAGTTCAGAACAACAACTGCTTGTTGTTTCTTCCTCACTCGGTAGGATGTGTGTGTCATGAGGTCTTCACACAAGTGCCAGGCACTCCCAGCAGCACACAAACATAGACACATGTAAAAGGTCCTGGGCTGCGGGCCTGACAGCTCAGTGTGGGAGCCTGGACAGAATGAAATCACACCATTGAAATCATTTTCTTGAAGACTCCTCTTTCTTAACAGCATCTAAAGTCAATACTGAATTTGGCTCCCATGAAAACAGTGCTGAGGCTGAGAGGTAGTGAAACCGAATTTCAGACCTCAGTAGGTTCTTAATCAAGGCATACATTTGTGTACAATGGTGATGGGTCTTGTGATCATACCATTTTCAAGGAGCCCTTCTAAGTGAAGTGTTGGGCACAGAGTAGAGTCTAAGCATCTACTTTTCAAATGGAATCATCTTATTAATATATAGGTGGCCAGCACCCAGCTCTGCAGCAGGTCTATAGACAGATGGAATTAGCCAAAACTCGATCTAACAATCAGGAACTAGGCTGCTCACTCCAGCATTCCCTCTGGGCATGTAGATCTGCCCAAAGGCAGTTTGGAGTAAGGTTAAAGACAGGTCCAGGTTTAAAATAAAATAATATTTACAAATTTATATCAAGCTATGCCAAAACCGGTTTGGTCAGTGGATAGAGCGTCGGCCTGCGAACTGAAAGGTCCCAGGTTCGATTCTGGTCAAGGACATGTACATTGGTTGCGGGCACATCCCCAGATGTTTCTCTCTCATCAATGTTTCTAACTCTCTATCCCTCTCAATTCTCTCTGTGTAAAATCAATAAAAAATATATTTTAAAAAAAATCACAAATTTATATCAAACTATGCTACAGAAAGACATTTATCAAAAGTAATTGCTTCATCATTGAATCCCCCAAGGATAAAAACAAAAAGAATATTTTAACCTTGGGTTTTTATAAGTTGTTAGCAGAAAGATAATTTTAATAACTCTTATCTGTTTTATTTATGCCTACTCTCTCCTCAGTGGGAGAATAGGGAAACAGCCATTTACATCACTTTTGAAGATACAGTGAAACTCAACAATCCTTGGCATAGTGACATGAATTTACACAAAGGTAGAAACAGGTCAGCTAAACAAGTCAGACAAATAAGATTTGGACGAGGGAGGGCATGACAAGTGCACAGCAGAAAAAGCAAGAGTCCGAGTCCATCTGGGGAGAGCAGTGTAGGGAATGCTTTGAAAGAGAGGCTTAGGGGGAATGAAAATAGCTGGCTTTAAAATGGTCCAGAGCAAACTCTGAGATGCACATTATTTTAATTTTTTTATAGTAATGATTTTTAAATAAGCCTTCAGGAGTTAAACGTGTTAGAAAGATTCTGAGAAAAGCAGCTTTTTGTCATCCAAGCCCCTTGTTGCAGTGTTTCTATGTGTACTGTTTGCAGAGCATGTTGCTAGGCAGGGAGACAGAAACACAAATTCAGTGTCTGGTTTTGCAAATTTGTCCCTAAGTTTCTGGGGCTTCATTTGGGTGAAATTTCATATTGAGTTTTTTGTGTCCTAAAATAGGAGTCACTGGTCCTTGGGAATTAAAAGTGCTCCATTTGCTCTGTGGTCCCTGAGGAAATGGGAATCATTTCTCATCATAAGTGGTTGCTGGTTCGGCGACTCCCTCTCCTGTCATTCTTTATTGTATATCTACCAATTTGGTGTGAGGAGGAAAGGTAGTTCCTAGATGTCATTGATCTTGTTCATTGATCTGGTTTGGCATGGCTTTAAAAGCCAAGGGTGCTGTGGTGTGTGTGTGTGTGTGTGTGTGTGTGTGTGTGTTGTGTTTTGTTTTGCGGCGGGGGGTGGAGTACAAAATTAATATTCAAGGAAGTGAGAAAAGGGAGCAGAGTTTATTTCACACTTTAAAAGGGAGAGGTGTTTTCCTTTATTCTGATTTTCTTTTTTAATTATAGTAATAGTACTTTGGTACATTTAAATTTGTCCTGTTGATCTGACAAGGCACTACTTATTGGGATTTTAAAAACTACACTATTGACTTATTGTCAAGCAAAAACAGAATCTCCTCATACAAAAGTTCTGAGTTGTGCTTTGTTCATTTTGGAAATGTAGCATCAATTTGGAGTTTCCTCTGAACTTGCCTGAATTCGTTACAAGGAAAATAAGGAAAGCAGCATATAGACAGAGAAATCAGGAGCCTTTTCATGTGGGCATTTAACTGATTTGCATCTTTACCAGACTGTTAGTAATTGGTGAAATGTAGTTCTCTGTGAACAAAATAATATATTTTCTTAATTTTGTGTGTTGAATGGGCAAAATTCATATTATATTCTGAAGATTATTGAGAACATTATAATATTACTAGAAGCCTGATGCACAAAATTCATACAAGGGGCTCTGCCCTTGGAGCTGCCAGTGGCTTGCCCCAGCCCTCACAGCCCTGGCTTCATCCGGAAGATCATCTGGAAGGACTTCGGAAGGTCATTTGGTTGTCTGGTATAATTAGCATATTACGCTTTTATTATTATAGAAAGGTAATTTAAGCTTGTATTCAGGGAGATCTTAGAAAAATAAACTCTGAGCTAAAGTAAGAAAGTATTAGCTGGACTGAGGTCAGACCATCACTTGGTACTGGTAGAAAAGCCGGTAATCCAGAGCTGATTTTAGATTCTATGAAAGAATCCATTTTGATGACAACTCTTGGAATGTTAATGAAATAAAGCCAGAAAGTGAAAGAAAATGGGACTGGTCAACCATGTTTTCACTTCTCTCAAAGATGGAAAGCACGTTTGAAAATTTCATAACCAGCTGCAAATACTGGCCTAAATGTAATGTGAGCAGAACAGGTGACATGTCTCTATGTTCTGTGCTCAAAATTCTATTGACTTGGATTAGATACATTCTTCAGAAATAATGATTAGTCCAGTGTGTGTCAATGCTTAGATATGTTTAGTCAATTACAAATATGCTCTGAGGGCATTGGAACTGTCAATGTAAAACATCCGCAAACCAGTGTATCTCCAGCCCTAGAACAATGCCCAAAACTTACTTGCTATTCAGTAAATATCTGTTGAATGAATTAATTAAAATCAACAAAGAGAGGCAAGAATATCAAACTTATATACATCTTTAGTGTATATAAGTTTAATATTCAATGAGAGGTTTCCTCGAGGTATAGGGGTTGTTCTGAGCATCTATAAAGTCATATGAGGATATTCAACTCCTAGAAAGATTGACAGGGTTGACAATTGGAGATAGCTAGTAAAGCAATTTTACCCTTGAGTTAGGAACTCTCCTTAAATTCTACACATGTCACAGATAGCGCAGAAAACAGGCTCAGCAGAGGTTTCTAAATTTCTTTGCTCCAAGAGCCTTTATAGTGTTTTGGTGATTTAAAAAAAAAAAAAAAGATACTTATGGACCAAAATAAAAAGCAAACAGTTCCATTTACTAATTAGTTAGTTCTAAACAACTTAATATTTATGTCCTAACAACTTAATAGCTATTTGAATAAATAATACTCATACATTAAAGGAAAAAATAAGATTTTTATTTCATTCTAAAATAGCCACAATTATTTATTAATGGAATATGCATTGCACAACTTCTCAAATGTTGCCATTACCATCACTCTCACTTTCCTTTTCACACTAACCTGATTTTTATCCCAGCAACCATTGAAAACAGAGTTTCACAAAGAGAGGATGTTTTGAAGGAAACAGGGATCCAGTGTTAAACTAGCCCATGCGGTATCTGACAGATGTCAGGGATTGCTACATTTTCCTCAAGAATTTAAAATGGCCCATGTATCCCTGTGAGTTCACTGCAGTGTATCAGAGGGCAACATTTAGAAACCACGAGGTTAAAGAGATGGAAAATATGCACAATCATCATCATCATCATCATCATCATCATCATTATCATCATCATCATGTCAACTACTGACTCTCCAAAAAGAATCTATACATAAAAAAGCCTAAGCGACTGTTAGATTGGTTGACCAGTCACTATGATGCTCACTAACCACTAGGAAGCAGATACTCAATGCAGGAGCTGCCCCCTGGTGGTCAGTATGCTCCCACAGCCAACCTCCCCAAGTCCCTCCTCCTAGCCAGCAAACCTCCCGTAGTCCCTTCCCCATCCAGCAGGCTCCGGCCAGCCTGGCCCCATCAGGACTGGGCAAGATGGCCCTGATTGCCAGCCAGGCCTAGGGACCTCGCCTGTGCACGAATTTTGTGCACCTGGCCTCTAGTCTATTATAATGATAGCTTAACATGCTAATTAAACCAAGCATCCTTCCAGACATCCTTCTAAACAAAGCCAGGACTGTGAGTCAAGCCCGGGTCCAGGTGCTGGAGGGAAGCCGGTACAGGCAGTCAGGGGAAGGAAGGCCTACTCTTTTTTATTTTATTTTATTAATTTCTTTATTGATTAAGGTATCATAGATTTGTCCTCAACTCCCATCCCAACCCCCCGCCTTCCCCCACTCACGCCCCCACCTTCTTATTGTCATTGACCACTGGTTAGGCTCATATGTGTGCACATAAGTCCTTTGGTTGATCTCTCCCTTTTAGGAAGTCCTACTCTTGCACAAATTGCGTGCTTCAGGCCTCTAGTACCAACATAAAACAAAACCAAATTTATTCTTAACCTAGTAAGGGGGAGTCAATAATCTTGTTGGAGTCTTAGTAACATTTCTGAGCGGGAGTGATGAAGGACAGGGTATTTTTGAGGTTTTTGGAGTTCTGTATTAAGACAGATTTTTTTTTTTTTTTAAATTCAGCAACCCTATTGGGATTGGACAAAGTATGTGACATAATAGTTTAGAATCGGTGACCATAATGGCATAAAACTTTCTGGGGAGTGTGGGAGCATAAGCAATCATTTGATAAGCCCAGCTGAGTAGGTGTATTGTCCTGAGAAGGGAGGTAATCAGGGTTTATGAAAAATTTGATTATATAGATTTGGTGGAAATTCCTGAAATAAAAAATAGTTATTTTCACTTCATGTTCTTGAATGAGTGTTTCTTGAAAGAGTAAAACCATGTTAATGCAGACATGGATGGCATGATTTTGATTCTCAGTATCCTATATAATAAAAGCTTAATATGCAAAATGGCTAATGACCAGTCACTATGATGTGCACAGACCACCAGGGGGCAGACGCTCAATGCAGGAGCTGCCCCAGCCTTCAGGCCCCAGGCCAGCCAAGATGGGTGCCAACCAGGGCCCCCAATCGCCCTGCTGGTTGCCCCACAGATCAGCCCTGATCTCTGGCCAGGCCTAAGGACTCTACCCATGCATGAATTTCATGTATCGGGCCTCTATAACAAACAATAGCTAACATTTATTAAGACTTGTGTTGTTGTTGTTGTTTTTTTGCTGGCCATAGTTCTCAGCACTTTACATGTATTCCATTTTAAAATATTCTCAACAGTTTTATGAGGTAGAAATTTTTATCCCCATTTTTACAGCAAAAGTATATGAAAGAAAGAGTGGTTAATTAAATGTGCCTATGGTCATGGAACAAGGACAAGACAGAGCATGTGTTCTTTTTATTTAACCAGTGAAAATACATGCAAGTACAATGAGAGTAATGCATGGTATTGAATTTTTATATTCACAGTGTTCTTTAAATATTCAGATTACTCCTGTTGTGGCCTTATAACAGTCTGTCGGCCTCTGGACCTCCTTGTACACTTATAGAGGGGCTTCTCTTGTTTGACCATGCTTTAGATAGAGCTTGTTGTAGCTTTCCCATTTACTAATCTTGGTTGTTAGTTACCAACTGCCCTGGAGCTGACAAAGGCCTCACACTGCAGCTGACTCTGGGAGAACACCTGAATGGCAGCAACACCTTTGGACATGGAGAATGGGGCTTCATCAACAGCACAGTAGTGCACAGTCTCCTACTTCATGGTATAATTTGTTGCTCAGTTATTGAGCCATACTACAGGTTGTAATTTTATTCTAAAAAAAAAATACACTGTTAAAGTGATTTGCATCCTTGCTAGCTTAAAAAATATTTTATTATAGGTGTCAATATTATCTTAAAGAACAGCAGATTTTGATACAAGAGTCAGGCTCTTCCATTTCCAAGCTGTTACCTGAAGCAAGTTACCTAACATCAATGAATTTCAAGCTCTTCTTTAGCAAGTTATGGTGAATATGTACTTTACAGGGTGGCTGGGAAGTTCCAATAAGGTAATATTAAGGTGTATTAGAGAAGTTTTTAGAATATATAAATATATTAATTATTATTGTTGTTAATTAGGTAGTTCTGTGAAAGTATGTTACATACAGTTAATTATCAGATAAACTTTAACTCTTATTTCATCCTATTTCATTATAATGTGTTTATTCCTTAAAGCACAGGAGTTTATGAATCATTCTCTAATTCTGGTCATATTGTATTCTAGCACCTGGCAGCTCATTTACAATAGACTAAAGATTTCTAAGCATAAGTGCACACTGGATTGATAATTTTTTCTCCAAGCTATATTTTGAGCTGATATTTTAATTTTCATGCAGGCTCTTAACTGCAGGATTTATAATGTCTGTGTCAGGTTAAATACACCCCCAGTGACACACACCCCATCACAGAATTGCCCACACACAGAAATCCATCTTTAGAAGCTTCCTCGCTCCAAAGGCAAAGCTCAAGGGGACTTTCACCAGGACCAGATGTTCTCTGAGAGTTTTACTCTTTGATTTCCTTTTAATCCTTGGAGATGCACGGCTCTTATTTACATAAAAATAAGTGCTGAAATTGAAGGGGGAGATGAAGAATACAAGAAAAACAATATTTTGGTTCTTTCAAATTATTAAACTCCACTGAATTTATTAACCATTTTTAAAAGGTCAAGTTTTCATTACCATTTATCAAATTAAAACATAATTTATTAGTTTATCCCATGGATTTTGACCACAAATCTGAAGACCTAAAATATATAATTTACCAATTAAGGATTCACTTCAGAGTTTCTCTCTTATTCTGTATAAAAGCATACTCAATTTGCTATGTGATCCTGGTCTTCCATTTAACATCCTATCTAATAAAAGAGCAATATGCAGATTGACCATCACTCCAACACACAAGATGGCTGCCCCCATGTGGTCAAAGATCCTGCCCCTATGTGGACACAAGATGGCCACCACAAGATGGCCATCAGGGGAGGGCAGTTGGGAGGCACCAGGTCTGCAAGGGAGGGCAGTTGAGAGGGACCAGGTCTGCAAGGGAGGGCAGTTGGAGATGATCAACTCTGTAGGGGAGGGCAGTTAGGGGTGACCAGGCCAGCAGAGGAGGGAAGTTGGGGTGCGGGGGGCAGGGGGGCGCAAACAGGCTGGTAGGGGAGCAGTTAGAAATCAATCAGGCTGGCATGGGAGTGGTTAGGGGGTGATCCGGCTGGCAGGCAGAAGTGGTTAGGGCAATAAGGAAGACAGGCAGGCGAGCAGTTGGGAGCCAGCAGTTCTGGATTGCGAGAGGGATGTCTGACTGCCCATTTACCATCCCTTGAGGGGTTCCAGATTGGAGAGGGTCCAGGCTGAGCTGAGGGACACCCCTCACCCCGTGCACGAATTTTGTGCACAGGGCCTCTAGTTAATTATAATGTTTCCTAGAGGCCTGGTGCATGAATTTGTGCACCACTGGGGTCCCTTGGCCTGCCCTGCTGGATCAGGCTGAAACCAGCTCTCTGACATCTCCGGAGGGGTCTTGAATTGCATGATTGGGGATGGGGAGGAATGTGAGAGGTTGGCCAATGGGGGAGGGACCACAGGAGGATTCCAAGGAATGTCTGGCCCATCTCGCTCAGTCCTGGTTAGCAGTAAGCTAACCTACAGGTCAGAGCATCTGCCCCCTGGTAGTCAGTGCGCGTCATAACAATTGGTCATCTGGTCCACTGTCTGCCCTCTGCTGGTCAGTGCACATCATAGTGAGCAGTTGAGAGGTCTTAGCATATCATTAGCATATCACACTTTGATTGGTTGAACTGCTGACCAGATGACCAGACACTTAGCATATTAGGCTTTTATTATATAGGATATGCCAGTTGTCAGTGGGTCTTAGAATCAATAAAATAATAATCATGCCTTTGTCTATAGTGATTTATTTTGTTTTTATAAAAAAAGGAACACAATTAGAAGGATACAGTATTTTTCCACATAACTGAGGATAGAAGGGTGGTGGGGACATTGTGACAGGGACTAGAACTTAAATTTACCAGGACCTAGGTAGGTTTTCTTAGCATGTGCCCCTCTTTTCTGGAAATACATGGGACTATTTCTAGGCTTCTCTTGTTGTTCTTATCCTCCTACAGTACAATTTCTTGCATTCTACTTACACCTCTCTATTGTGGCTTCCTCTGACCTAGGATTTCACATGTGTCAAAGAAGCGACCACCACTAACTGACCTTTCTCCTCTTTAATCCAGTCCCAGATTCCAGGGAGAGAGGCTCTCACTGGCCCAGCCCAGTGTCTTGAAATACAAACATGGCTCCAGAGGCAGGTGATGGCAGTTCTCAGAAAAGGGTGCTATGGCATGATGATCACCCCCAAATCACAATAACATAAAGATTTTTATCATAGAAATACTTCACTGTTGTTACAGAAACATTACCATGCAAAAACTCAGGTATACAAAACCTGAATTCAGTTTATATTGCTAGTTTTATGTAGTGACGAAGTTTGTAAACATTGCTTTATTCAATCCTTGATAGTCTTTGGAATAGTCATTTAAAGGAGTCAATCTTTGAGTCAATCATTTTAAAAACAACCAATGAATAAACATACCTTTATAAGTACAATTATATGTTTCCTATGGTAAATTTATATAACAGTAAACAAAAAATTTGATTTACTTAACATTAGAATAGGTACTTTATAGAAATTTATAGTTTCTTAATCCATGGGGTTCTATCTATTTGGTCATGGGATTTTGGTGGTTGCTCCTTCATTTAGCCTGTATCTGCTTGTTTATAGTCTTTATATAGAATGATTGCCTTAATTCAAAAATAGGCATGGGAAGGAACTTAAAGTGTTAGGACTAAAGGAGGGTAATGTGACTGGAGTCTGGTGAACAGGGGAGAGTGACACACATGCATAAATGCCAAGAAACAAGACAGATATTAAGAAAGCTCTTCACAAATGCTGTGACTTTTGTTTCCTCTGTGTGAATTTGCTATTCATGGCAGAACTTACTGAAAACCAGTGCAGTCTGCAAAACTCATGCTCAAGATGTTTCATGACTCATCAAATTAGTAACCTATTTTAGAATGGAGGAACATTTATATAAGATACAATTAGACCCCTGGTCTCCCTCCCTCACTGGAAACCAGGAGACTTCCTGCAAGTAGGAGACCAGCCATTAATAATTCAGGGGAGAATTGAACCTGGGAAGTGCTGGACTTCAGTACCTAAAACATAGCAACATAGCAGTGTGACAAATAAAAACAAACAAATGAAAAGAAATAGAGAAAACACAGTGAAGAATAGATGACACAAACAAAAGCAAGTTTGTAGTTGAAATGAGACATTGTGCACTCACTACAAACAAAACACAAAAGCAGAAATAAGATGCTTATGTAAAGAAGCAGAAGTAGAAAAAGTTCCAGGAAATTATGTAAAATCATTTAGAAAATTCAATAGATGTAAAAAAAAAAAAAATCCTTGGGAAAACAGAATAAAAAGATAAAGAAAAGAACTATAGAGAAAATAGGTAAAATAATTAAATGATCAATCTACTTTCAGCATTCAGATCATAGCTATTGCATAAAGAGAGAACAGAGAAAGCAGAGGTTTGGAAATTGCTCAAGAAATAGGACATAAAAATAAAATTTCCAGAACTGAAGTACAAGGGCCTCCAGGTTAAAAAGAACCCAGCAAGAACTCAGCAAGAAAGGACTTGCATTAAAGCACTCTTTTGTGAACTTTGAGAACATTTGTAAAAACCAGAGCATCCTAAAGCTTTCCAAAAAGAGAATTAAAAAAGAATAAAGAAACACACTTATCTACACAGACTCTAGAATTAGAATGTCATTAGAATTGTCAAAAACTATACAAAGATTAAAATAGTATGGAAAGAACCCCAATTTGCTTGGAATGTTCCATAATCTATATGTGCTCTTGCCAGTTCATTGGGTTCCATCATTTCCTTACCCCTTCCCAGTCTAGCTGGATTGCAGAGTTAAGTTTATGATTATGAAATAAAAGACTATAAACAGTAAAAAAAAAAAAAATAGTATGGAAAGAACCTAAAATTTAAAAAGAATATAGTTTACAACTTTGAATTATATGCCCAGTCAAACTCATTATTCAAGTATTTGTATAGAATAAATATATTCAAAAATGAAAAAAAAAATCATTCTTGTATTCCCCACCCCCCAGTTTTGTTGAGGTATGATTGACAAAAATTATATGTATTTTATTTATGCAATATAATTTTTTAAATTGGACAATGTGAAAATTTAATACACATGTGCCTTATTTAAGCATCAGCAAAAATGAGAGAAGGTAAAAGATAGATGATAATATGGAACTCCAGTAGAGAAGGCCAGATTCTTAAAGGAAATCCTCTTTCCTTCTTTCCTGCCTACTTGCCTTTTCTTCTTCTTTTCTTTTAATTTTTAGTCTGCAAATGGTACAAATTTTAATTTCTATAACTTAGACTCTATAGCTGTTTACAACTTTTAATGTGATAGTAATTCCCTTTGTCTCAAATAACCTTTGGCACCCCACCTTTAATGAGTGCTGTGGCTATTGACAGAGCAGTGAAGAGATAATCTCAAGCATGGTGTGGCTAGGAGAGAAATGCAGGGGAATGCATGAATTGACGAAGAAAATGAGGAAAATAAATTGAGACCTTCAGGAAGTGGAATGAAAATCTGAACAATGTGTTTGCCCCTATACAGATAAGAATGAAATTAAAGCTTAGCGGGAAAGTTTGTTAAACTATCAAGATATTTTATGCTTTCATTATAATTCCTACATCATTGCTTCAGAACCATGAGTGCAAATTAATTACAAATATACTGAGAAGCAATTTAAGAAAATTCATTGTGATCAACAACTTTTCTGCATACCAGATAATTAATTTTAGAAGGAAACAGAATTATTAAGTCATATATTGCCACTTAAGTCTACGGTTAGCCTGTTTTTTTATATGTATGCATTGTACTATAATTTATAGTGAACAAAATAGTAAAATAAATCAGATTTTTAACACAGTGTACCTGTGTTACATTTTTATAAAGCTTTCGACTGGAGAAACAACACTTAGATGAAACCAGTTATTCCATTTTTCTTGATTTTTATAACACTGCTCTGATGAAAAGAGCAATATGGGAGAAACTAACTGGTTAGTACCATAAGAAACTGAAAGCGGACAGTCTGTGGGCTGTTCTTATGATAACATTATGGTATGTATTACCTGTCTTTATTGATGTAAAGCGGTATGTTTCTTAGATACACTCAGAAAATGAAACATTTGAGAGACAGTGATACCTGAATCAGACTTTGCCTGTACTATCCAATGCATAACGGAGGTGGATGAGCTATTTTTTTTATTTTTTTATTTTATTTTTTTGTGACTGATGGGTATAAGTTGCATGGCCTGTAAGTCTTCTGAAGTCTTTTTTTTCCTTTTTTCTGTTTTTCCTCATCTGCCCTTGTGTCCTGTTCAGCCCTCTCTGTGGTCTGTACACCATATTTGATACTCAGCTAAAGTTTGCCTTCGCTTAAGGCTGCAAGGAAATTACACTTGCAAGATTACAGGTTTTGAGGCAAATTGCACAGTGAGTACCATTTCTTAAAGAAACAAAGCTTGAGAGATTTATGTAAATCTTTCTGAGCCAACAGCTAAACAGTTATTTGGAGTACTCTGAAAAATCTTTCTTCTTTTTGTTGTCCAGGGAAAAGGTAATTAAACAGATTAATAGACGGTAGTGAATATTATTCCATGCAGAAGATTTATTCAATTACACTCCATTTTTCTTCTCTTTCCACCTGGCTGAACTGGCAATTTTTGTGTTTACTTTTCTGAGTGTAAGTATGAAGTGCACAAGAAGGTACAATTTAGTACAAGAAAAGATGATAAATATCTGAAGCAGTTACAAATATCCACAAAGTTAAAACTAAACTAGTAGATTTAAGTGTTGAAAATTCCGTGTATGTGTGTGTGTGTGTGTGTGTGTGTGTGTGTGTGTGTGAGTGTGCATGACTACTAGTATATTATTGCAGGGAATTTCATGTGTTTTCTTTCTTTTGCAGGTTGCCTCAGTTATTTATGATATAAAGTGTGGCATAAGGCTTGATAGCACTTGAATATTGAATCTCTCATTGGCTATGTGCTATCTCAAGAATTTTTATCTTTGCAGATGGTTTAGGTCTCTGCCTTTTAAATTATTTGCTCAATGTGTCTCAGAAGCTCATTTTCAAAATGTTCCCTATTTCGTTAATTGTATATATTACTGGTGCAGATAGTTTCATTGCTAATACATGTCTTTCAAATGATGGACTTTAGAGTTGGTTTAGATAGCAATATTTGAAATATAATTATTATATTATATAAGATAAAAGAAGTAGCAAATTTTAATTTTAAATATTTAATAAAAGATGTGCATAATGATTTCTGTGGCCCGTTATAATTATAGACTCAGTGAAAGAAACTATTGGATGATGGAAGTAAGTTTATAACAAGAAATTATAAGGGACAGTTGGTGACAAAGATAGATGTTGAACTCAACAAGGATGTGCTTTGAGTAAGGAACAGAAGCAAATCTTACTAGTATTTAGAGGAGGAATATATAAAAGAGCAGTGTGACTTCAAGAGAAAATTTAAAATATAGAGGAACTGAGTCAAAGAAATTTATATTTATGACTCTTATCTGTTCATAATCATCCCCTCCCCTCTCCCACTATTGTTCTTACTCTATCAACCGATACTTTTAAAAATAATATCTACTACTACCTGAAATTATCTTGTTCTGAGCATTTCTTTGTTTAATTTCCATCAGCACCTCTAGAATGTAAACTCCATGCGATTAGGAAACTGCCTTGTTCATACTACGTACCTACCATGTGCCTGGCATATAAGATGCTTAATGAATATTTAAATGAATGGTCATTGTCATTAACCTTCATATGAGAACAAAGGAGGAGTATAGTAAGAAAATAAAAAGTTTTAGAACATACTATAGTGAATGATCTACCTAATATTGATAGTTTTAATTACAGCTATTGACTACTTACTGTGTTATAAATTAAGGAAAGCAATTTACATATATATATATATATATATATATATACACACTCAGTGTAATATATACAGTCACCTGTGAGAAAACTGTTACTGTGCCCAACTTAGAATGAGGAAACTGAAGCTAAGCATATTTGTTTTAAGTTAAGAAGGTGATCATATAATGATTTATGTTCAGTTAGGGATAAGTAAACAAGGTAGTATTTATGACCCAGTTTTTGCTAAAAACATACACTTTGAAAGGATCCACTTGCATGGTAAAACACAGTGGTGCCTCGCATAAAGAACGCCTCTCACAGCGAACGCTGCACACAACAAACTTCATTTCATGATTCACACAACGAAGTCGCCCGAGCTTCCACGACCGCTTTGCCCGAGCTTCCACGACTGCTTTGCCCGAGCTTCCACAATCGCTGCCGATGTATTGCATCCTTCCGCGCAGGCACTGCAGGCAGTCGTTAGTCACTGCGCTTAACTTAAGCACGTATCGCGGCAATCGTTCTTCATTACGAATTAAATCACGCACGTATCACGGCAGTCGTCCTTTTAAGTTAAACTCAATATTTTTTTTATATCATGGCTTCTAAAAAAAGCAGGAAGGTGATTTCTGTTGAAATGAAACAGGAAATAATTAGAAGGAGTGAATGTGGGGTAAAACAGTGTGACCTCGTCAAAGAGTTTGGCCTCAGCAAGACCACCATTTTCACCATTTTGACAAATAAGGATGCAATCAAATCAGCCAAAGTAGCCAAAGGAGTATCAAAACTATTTCATGAAAAACATAGGTCTTCAATCCACGAGGAAATGGAGAGGCTATTAGCGATTTGGATTAAGGACAGGCAGGTGAAAGGTGACGTAACAACCCAAGATATTATCTGTCACAAAGCCAAGAGAATTTATGACGATCTAAAGAAAAACGTCCCTGGAAGTAGCAGCAATCAAGATAATGAAGAAGAATTCAAAGCCAGCAGGGGGTGGTTTTTTAGATTTAAGAAAAGGTGTGGAATCCACAGCGTTACTATGCATGGTGAGGCTGGCAGTGCTGACAAGAAAGAAGCAGAAAAGTTCTCTATTAACTTTCAAAAATGTATTAAGGATGAAGGATACTGCCCACAACAAGTGTTCAATGCCGATGAAACGGGTCTTTCCTGGAAAAGAATGCCGAGCAGAACCTTCATTACAAAAGAGGAGAAGAAATTGCCAGGACACAAAGCCATGAAGGACAGACTTATTACCCTTATGTTTTCGTCTAATGCCAGCGGAGACCTCAAGATCAAACCTCTATTGGTTTATCACTCTGAAAATCCAAGAATTTTCAAGAAAAATAACGTTATTAAGTCCAAACTGCCCGTCCATTGGAAGTCCAATCAAAAAGCCTGGGTGACCCAAGTTATCTTCAACGAATGGATTCTGGAAACCTTTGCTCCTGCCGTGAAGAAATTCTTGCTGGAAAAAGAACTGCCGCTCAAAGCCCTTCTGATACTTGACAATGCCCCTTCTCACCCAAAAGACCTAGAGGAAATATTGCAGGAAAATTATCCTTTTATCAAGGTGCAGTATTTGCCACCAAACACCACATCCATTCTTCAGCCAATGGATCAGCAAGTTATTGCGAACTTTAAAAAACTCTACACTAGAGCCCTCTTTAATAAGGTGTTTGAAGAATGCGAGTTTGGTGGAGACAATATGACTGTCCGAAAGTTTTGGAAGGAGAAATTTGATGTCCTTATGGCAATACGACTTATACAGAAGGCCTGGGAAGAAGTGTCACAAAGGACCCTCATTTCTGCTTGGAAGATGCTTGTGCCTTCGTGGACCCAGGAAGAAGCAGTAGTTGATGACACAGAAGTGGTGAAGGACATCATCACAGTGGCCCAAAGGTTGGAATTAGAGGTAGAGGAAGAGGATGTAGAGGAGCTTATTGAGGAACACGAAGAAGAGCTGACAACTGAAGAG